TAAATTAATATATTACACATACAGTGATGAAAATGAGGACGAAATATAGTATAATAAAAATGGTATTATGATAACTAACGAAACAACATACATTGAATTTGTGTAATATTTATACCCGTGTAAGAACGATTATCAGGAAAATACGATACTTAGACTGGTAATTATATAAAGTAATAAAACCTATCAAGATATGTTTTCCCAGCTTGTGCGCAAATGTGTGTTTGGAAGGGTCCATGTAGATTTTGAGTACGAAGATAAAGCTTCCAATGAAGTCAGCTACATGCTATTAATTAATTAAACATGAACACAACATGAATAAAATACTGGAAAACTATAAAAATATATAAATAATGGGAGTAATGTAACTATACTACTAAAACAATTAGGATAGTGATAATTATGATGAAGTTATAATATGAATAACGATGATACTGGTCATAACCCCATCGTTGCGCTAACCGAAGATCTGAATCCTAAAAAAAAAATGGAAACAGCGTTTATGTACGCATGATAAAAAGAAAATATGTATATAGATATATATATACACATGTATTTAAACAGGATTTGTGAGCGTTTACAATGAGTTTTGCATCTACAGAGTAAATTGTATTTAATAAAGCAAACAAATTATACACGTACACACACAAGAATTAATCTTCAGGAAGAAACAGATACATTGTAACTTTTGAAATAAAAGAACAGAAAATACTGTGATGCAAAAAAGGTTTTTGTGCTTTTAAGGGCAAAGTTGCAGTACTAAGGAAACCTTGCGACGTTGATTTCGAATAAATCCTAGATCGGAAAAATAATTGTGACTAACATCCTAAACCAAATATCATGTTTCCACTTTGGACCCCCAATATATATATATATATATATAAAATCAAAGTGGTTATAAATAGCGCACATAATGTTGCTGTCCCGTTGAATCCTAATGGTCACTTACTGAGATGAATCTACTCAATGGTAAAAGAAGATATTCAGAAGCATACTCTATTCTGCTCACGTGTATATGATTTTCGCAATCAACGGCCAAGAAATTGACTCAGAACGTGCTACTTTTGTGTTGAAAGCAAAAAACACCTTTTTGTATCGCAATCAAAGGGCTAAAAAGAATAATATATGCGAAATACCTTGAGGCAAAACAAAAACAAGTTAGAGGAAAAACAATGATTACTTTCTTTCAGATATACATTTAATGTAAGTGTCGATGTCTAAACACTAAAACTACTCTTCACGAAACAGTGAATGCTAAATGCAATTCAACAGAGTACGTGTGTCCGCCACAAAAACCTATACAGATATTGCTAAAGATTTAAAAGCGAAGAGTATCGAAACGTCGAACGGTCTCACTGACCATATATATATATATATATATATATATATATATATATATATATATATATATATATATATATATATGGACGAAAGAACATTAAAAGAAGGAATGAAAACAGCCTGTGCTTTAGTTTGTCAGCATAAGTTCGTACGACCTTGTACAAACAATAAAGAAGCAAAAAGTCAGAACCCAACCATAAATTTGAATTGATTCAAGAAGTAACTTCTTTAAATTAACATAAGTTAAATCAATGTTTTCACACGCTTATTATTGCTATTCCTGCTATGAATGCTAGTAAGGGCATTGTGATGTATATGAAGTTGCGATTCGATTGATTGGCTTTCTCGAGCTTGAAATAATCATTGAGCAAATACTAATTTCAGTGGTTTTCTTCCAGATTTTCAAATGAACCCGCAACTTCAAACGGATATACAGCAAAATCATCAAAGACCCACCCAACACACAAATTCAATCGGCACGTAATAAAGTTTAGCCAACGAAACCCAAACACTTTTATAAGACAATCAGTATGTAAATCATTTTAAGAATAACTTACGCATGGTTTCGTTGATTTCGATATGTTCAACATTTTTTGCTGATTAGCTCCGTTTCGTCTTCATTGTTGCAGCAGTGTTATCGTAGTAGTGATACTACTATATTATACATAGATGCAAACAGGTTGTACGCGTCTTTCAAATCACCTAATTCGATTTCAATAACTATCGACTGGAAAAAGCTCCAGACTTGCTACTACATACACAATGATAAACAGAGATATAAATGCCGTCGACGTTTTCGCATTATTTTTTTTTTGTATTGCTGGATTCGCCAACGCTTTTGCAGTGTCGTTAGGGGCGGCCGCAGAGGCTGCCGCGGCGGCGGCAGCCGTCGTCGCGAAGTGGGGCGCGTCGGCTGCGGGTGCTTGCTCATGGACAGCCGAGTTGGGCTATTACACAATGGACGAAGCCAACTGTCTCCGGCGACTCACCCCCGGACCAGACCAGCTGTTCGGTTGTGCTCTGTGCGGATATCGGACAGCGGGTACCTACAGTCTTCGACGGCATTTTCGTGTCCACACGGGCGAAAAGCCGTACGAGTGTGACGTATGCGGGAAACGCTTTTCACAGCGATATAGTGTGGCTATACACAAACGAACGCATTCTAGAGAACGGCCTTATGCGTGTACGCGGTGCGGGTATCGAGCCGCTGATAGGGCTACGTTGAAAAGGCATCTTCAGACGTCGCATTAGCGGCTATTGTGAGCCACCGCAGAGGGAAGGAGGCAGGGGTCGCTAGTAGCTTAGAAACAAGGGATAAAAGAAGGGGGCGTAAAATGGGACATTGATAGCGAGATACGGAGACTGGTAGTAAAAGTATCTAGTGATCTTCTCAACAGCTTGTCTAGACAACAGTTCGGGAACTGTTGTACGCAGAACAAAATGGGGAACATATGTAGCTAGCCAAACAACAACATTGAGCTGCGGGGAGTCACATAGACAAGCTGATCATAGCTAGCATGGGTAAAACGTAATAACAGCTGATTTACATGTGTTGTATGTACATTATGGTGCAACAGTTGTAATACTATTAGAATGTGACGTCGGCACGCGGTGTATTGTAACAATGTAACATGTGACTTTGTTCTTAACGGCTGCAATACGCTATACAAGTTCCAGATGAAATGTACAGCACGGTATTACATTCCTGAGATTGTGGCAATGGGAGCGGGTACCTATTACTGTAATGTATCTAATGATGAACCATATTGAATAAGACAAGCAGGATGTTTGGCATCGTTAAAATGTTTTCTTGTGACTAAGTAATCCTGCGTGTGTGCGTCTGTGTGTCTGTGTCAAACCCGAGAGCGAGGTTAAGCAGCACTCGCACCGCTGACTGTGGGTCTCTCAAATCAAAAATGCGTCTATACGCAATGACTCAGTGAAGTGCAATTTCAGGCGAGGCTGTTGTTTACTAATCACTTGCTACTTGCATTAATGAAAATATGTTTTTCCGGAAACGATTTTCCGCTTGCTTATCCCCAAGCTCGAAGTTAAACAAACTAAGGTGCACTGCGATAAACCTTCCAGCACAGTGCTTCCACTGCCGGGTAGCCCGCTGGTTTTTCAAGCAAAACATACTTGTGAAAACCTATAATTATGAAAAAAAATCAGTTATACGCAGTGTAATGTGGCACAATAATTCGAACAAACCTAAATAGTGTTAAACAGAAACATCTGCTACCTCTAATCCAACCGCGCCATGTGAGACCCACCGCGAGTTGTTCGCATATTAGCATAGATGAATGTGATAAACGTCGTCGATGGCAAATAAAGCGCCCTCTGTATACTCGGAAATGATTGCAGCTCTGTACACTTGTGGTCTCAGAGTCTATGTATTACTATTGTTATTAGTACTATTACCTGACTAATCAAAAATAGCGTCATATGTAAGTTATTATCATTGTGTGTAACAATATCATGATGGACAAATGGGTCCATTCAATGAGCGTATCGAACGGCTCATTTTTACCAAATCAAATAGAACCATTCAACCAGGGCCCGTACAGTTCGACTGGTTGATATGATTTCGATACATGAGTGTATAGCGTTATATCCACTACGTACGAAGTGCTTTCATGCAAAAGCAATTTCAACTGATGTCGATGGATCTAGGCCACCTGTATTAAGGCACTTCATACGCACCAACGTAAGCGTATGTATGAAAAAATGTATTCACTCTTTCGCGTGAACGATCAGTAAGAAGGCATTTACTATAACAACTTTGCTGGCAACCCTAATGCTACTTGTGAATGTAAAATGTCTGTCAGTGTATCACATGACCTGAGGGCGTGTAGCATGTATAGAAGCACGGTGGTGTTATACGTGCACGCAAAGGTAGAGGCTATGAAAAAAGTAAACAGTGGAATTCATATGAAAAAAAGGCGATAAAGGTTACAAATAAATATGTGATGGTCTGATTTTATTGTGTCAATTAAGAAAAATCAAGGCGTGTCTTCTTTGTTTGGTCGCATTGAGTGAGCAAGCTCGTCGCAATTACAGGATGAACGATCGGAGGTCGTCCATTCTCATAGCAATGGGGAAAGAGTTGACGTGCACTAAAATTTTTCATGGCGGCACCTGTCTTCATCATTGGATCTCCATGTTACATATGCTCACTCTACCCATGAAGCCTTTGTTCTGAGTTCGAGCTAGTAATAAAGATTAGTTTTCATTGTTTGTGTTCTCTATTGTCCTCCTTTTATTGGCTTTGGTTCCCTGTGCTTTTACGTACAATGTAATAGCGGAGCACAATTTTTAAGTTGTTTTTAAATTTTTTTGTTTCATTTTTGAGTTTTGGAAATATATCTGGGAATCAGGTATGTGTACTTTTCTGAGAACTATAAATCTGTTGTAATCGAGTTTTCCTTTAAATTGTTACTTGCCTCTAACTTACCGAAAATGATGTGGAGTTTTTATATCGATTTTCCTTGTTTTATTTGTTTTTTGTTCTTGTTCACCTCGGTTTATCCCTTTTGTGTGCTGGATCTCCGGACGAAATGAATCGCCTGTTCTGTAATCTTCTTCATCGTTGTCGGCCTGACTGGCGTACCCCACCGGCGGGTTGTGGTTTTTTGTATGTTTGAACCCTGTACGCTTTTCAGACGACGAGATCTTCTCAGTTCCGAGTAACATGGAGATGCGAATTCTTCCCGAACCCGATTCGTCCCTTGAAGAAATGGCTCCTTTTGGCTGGGCCCTCCCTGACGGCATGGAGATGAGCGTGGTCGAGGAGGGCAAATACTTCAGCTGTGACTATTGCCCCTACCGGACGCTAGTTGCATCGATATTCCAGAGGCACATGCGGGTTCATACGGGCGAAAAGCCATTCCAGTGTGACATCTGCGGCAAGAACTTCACAAGGAAAAGCAGCGTTGAGACACATCGGCGGATTCACACCGGTGAGAAACCGTTCAAGTGCAACTTCTGTCATTATTCATCCGGTGACCGAAGCGCTGTACGCCGTCACCTAATGAGCTGCAGTGAACTTTCGAAAAAACTGGAACGGAAACACGACCGCGACACGATGAATACTTCGCCATGACTGTTCTCCGAGAGCACAATTCTTAGCTTGTGTAAAACAAATTTGTATTTTGATTGGGGATAGCTGACGCTTAGTAAAAGTGCGATCCTATAAATCATCTGGTACAGCAAATGGACATAGGAACAGGAACCAAGTCGCAGTTACCGAACCTACTACTGTTGTCATCATTATTATTAATTTATGTCATACAAGTCTATATGTCACGTTCAACACGACAGCACGCTAAAAAGCACCACTATCAAGCGGGCGTGTGGGGCTTTTTGTATCTCTTTTGTTCCCGCTCTATTCAAAACGAATTAGCAAGAACAACAAACAATACTGACATTATTGACACTTCAATACTACTGGATAACATTTCATTATATTTTAAGTGCATTATAAGGATTATGGTTGATAATGACGACAACAAATACGACAACGAAAGCGACAACAATAACAATAATAGCAGCAGCAATTGCAGCGATAGCAATAAAAATAAATGCAACCAACTGTGAAACGCCGAACAGAAAAAGGAACAATGTGGTGGCTGCTAAGAGTGCTATATGCTATCTTGATTAGGTCTCCTCTAGGTTTCAATAGGTAGAAAGAGCAAGCTTGAGGATCGAGTGACGATAATATTACGTAGCAACGAAAAATAGAAGCTATTGATAACTACTCGACGAGACGTTTTGTTTCACGACCAGATCTTCGATGTCTGTAGTGAGGAAAGTGACAAGAAGTACCCCCCGATGTGTTCTGTGCTAGTAGAATTGAGGCGAAGGAACCTTTTGTATAGACTGTTGGCATCCTTATTTTTAATCGCGGTGTTTGTTTGGCAACAGCAAAAAATTACACAGCATAGCATAGATTCAGGGCAATAGCACCGTTGGACACATTGAGAATGCTATTGCAAAAGATCACGAACGAGCCTGCTGGTGAAAGGGCAAACGAGTTTTATCTGTACGTAATAATAAGGCGGATATGATAATGCTAATTAGATAAATTGGAACACGATGAGTTGGTGAGTTGAAAGGCGACAGGTGATGAGTTGTGTTCAGGTATCGAATTGAGAGGCCACAAACTCGTATCGCCAAGCCAGAGATCAATTTGAAGTCATCAGTGGATTGTCTTGCAGTAGGAAAATACCGCAAAAAAATACAACACAAATCACAAAAAAATACAACTACGACTGTTAGACACGCATCTCAAGCACGCACCCCTCCTTGCGGGAAGAAGATGCCCTGTATAAAGTTGGAAATTGAAGTTAATTGAAGAAGGTAATTGAAGGCTTTATCTGTCCCGGTGTCCCCTGTACTAGTCGGGGAACCCTTTGGAGCGTCGGGCCCCGCACGATACGATTCAGAACCGGTGATAATATATATATATATATATATATATATATATATATATATATATATATATCGGAGGAGGTGCATAAAATGGAGAGGAAAATGGGCGAACGAAAATGTTTACACTTTTTTTGCCTATACTGAAACAACCCAAACAGATGCGGCCCACTGTTGGGAATATATAGGCGTTAATGAACAAAACAAAAAGCATTCCTACAATTTAAGTCATGACGAGTGAACCTGCGACATATTATATTTTCATTGTATTTTGTTTGTGCTGAGATTTATCAGCCGGAATTCACTCCAATATATTGCACGCGTCCTTTTTCAGTGTGCCGTTATACGTGGTTAACGTGCTTGTCTGGTGGGACACGCTTTTGGTTTAGTACCTTACGAAGCAGCAGGGGCGCAATACATGCCGAAAAAATTCGCGATATCGTAAACCATGCGTTTACTTTGCTAAGATCGAGATCTTTGGTCCAGATAGGGTCACAAAAGCCAGACTCATGCCCCATTGTGTCATTGGCACTTGATGGCTGGCCTCAGTCTCCTTAAAAAATGCTACAATAAGTTTAGGTAGGAAGTTAAGATTACAAAGGTTATGAACTTGGGCGGAAAGTATAGTTTCTACGTTGTGAATTTTCAGGTTTGGCAGATTCTGATAAAACAGTGTCCCACCTGGCACCCTATTGCGTCGCTATATGGTGTATGCAGTGAAACGAATCTCGCTGAATCTCATTTGTCTCTATGTTAACATCATCTGAATAGGTCTTATTATACTGGTTGTAAACAAACATGTAACGGCGGATTCAAAGCGATAATCTGCTGTTATGACGAAGTTACAAGAACGGCAATATCGATTATCGTCTAAAACTTCGAGGCGGCATTCAATCAATGGGTATTGACATGAAAAACCGAGGTGACAAGTGATGATCGGGAAGAATGGGTGTATTCGTAACATTCGTGACATTTAAACATGCAGACTAAGATGGCCCTGCGCTTATAAGGCAACCGTGGATATACACGGCCGATTTATGATTTGAGCAAACCCTTTTTTGCTTTTTTCCACATATTTGCTTTCGCCATTTGACTAAGAAATGCGCGCGGACGCGTACGTCTTCTTTTAGCCAGAACAGATCTCGAAAAATAAATCACTGGCACTAGATACTGATTCGGAATTTTGCTTGCAAAAAATCATGAAAATCTGTGTCCCGACCCGAGAGGTGATGCGCACAACAATTGGACAATTAATTTGTTTATAGGATTGCACTATTACTTTAGCATAGTAGTCTATTAGGCGCTGTAAAAAAACGAGCATCTGAGATAATTCGAATTAGCAGCGTGAAGATTACTCAGTAGCCTCAGAGCGCTGGGGAGGTTTTTACTTTTTCATACATCGGCTTGTTTCCGCAAACCAACTTATACATACTGAGAATTCGTTTATTCGCCTTCGGGCATTGGCACCGAATTTGGCTGAAGAGGTTTTTCCTTCACGCAGCTTCTATTTGTTAGCTCTTTTTTGACTACGATAAGACGCCTATATGCTAAGAAACCATGGAAGAACCCATTCTGTCACCGGTCTTCTGCAGTTTGCACTCGCCCAACATATCGGTCTTCCATAAGCGAAACTTTCACCGACTGCGCTATAGTCGCATAAGCTCGAATGGCCAGGTCGTTCCACACTAAAAAAATTACTATAACGTGTATATCGAGGCATGTTTGCCTGGCAGCGTCCTTACTGTTAATACAAGTTTCTGAATCTAAATTAGTTCATTCAAGCTGAGATAGAAGAAAAAGCGAACTAAGAACTGCCCTTTTAATCCATTCCTTCGCTTCACCGTCCCTCACGGAATGCCCAGTCCAGTCAGAGAGTATCCCTCTCAATGATATTCCTATTACTATTATATTATATATAGCAGTTATGATCATAACAACTACACGCATTGATATTCTGACATTATTTTTACTATTTCAGCGGTACGTACACCACTTCCGTCATTACTATCATTACAATATAGAGATGTATTATTGCTATGTTATTTTACGGTCGATGACGTTTAGAGACGACGTACCGAACGTGGTAACAAATTAGCGTGCACGCAATTACTTCTATCATCATCGATACCTAACGTTAACCGATTGACTAATTAACTATTCTATTTAGATATAGTTCGGGTGCGTGAACACCGAAGCTGTTCTATGACGAACACAATTGTTATTATTAACTGCTATAGTATTCCCTGTATAATTATCGTTAGACTATAGCATATACTGAAAGGTCGCTGGCATATGTGGTGGTCCTTTTCCGCCTAATACGCTCTGTATGGCGACACCGTGTCGATTTGTCCCACCCAGCTGCACTCACCGGCGGTATCACCCCTTTTTAGCACGATCTGTATAAAATTCACTCTGTTATTTTAAGGATAGAAATGGTGGCGTTTGCGAACTCCTAGAAAGAAGTGGACTTTCGAGTGAGGGAAGTTTAGAAAATCGAATTTCTCATTTGAAAATTTATAACCTATTAGAAGTAACGAGCAAAAGAAGTTCTTGACCTTTCTGCCACTTCTATTATTAGCAGGCAGATGGAATAGAAAATCGGCGCGCATGCCATGTCACAAGGTTATAAAACGATCAAGCAGAGAATGAGACGCGAGCGAGCGACCGACCGATCGACCACAGTGAGGGTCGATTACAGAGCGCGCACAAAAGCATGGTTGAGCGTTCACTGTGAAAACTACTGTTCCCTCATAAGATAACCCAGCCGAGGGTGTGGTATTAGATTTTTAATTAGGTTCAGTAAAAAATTTCTGTCGACTTTTGTTTCACTTACAACGCTACCGTTCAACCTTGGCGTTTTTTAATCAACCTTTCATATCACTATGACTTCGTACGCGTGGCTGCATCATTTCCTTTGAGATTTTATACAATCAGATGACTATCGGTACTATTTTTATCATTGTTATTATGTATCGCGTTGAATTCTCAAATACCCTACGAAAGCATCAAATATAATTATTGTCACTTTTTTATAGAAACATATATTGCTAGTTTTATTGTTGTTATTATATGATAATGATTAATTTTGCATAAGTCGGAGTAGCATACACAGCATCATAAAGAAGAGACATACATCCGCAACGTGTTGAAGCAGAGCTGCTTCGACCCCACTGTTTCGCCTGTGCAATTTTCTGTGGCACCCAGTCCTAGCGGTCTCATATTTTTGTTGAGATACATCAACGGCGACCACATCTATACTCTTATTATCTCCTGTTTCTCATAAGATAATAACAAATCATTAGCGACTAGCACAAACAACCCTATAACAATGTCACAACATACAAACTACAGTAATGTAATGAAGAGCGATATATTTGTACACACACACACACACATGTACAAACACGTTATTAATGACAATCATAGCGATAGTAGCAACCAACGACCAGGGCAACGAAGACAAAGCTGGGAAAAAGTATCTTCCGTACCACCAATATGTCACATTGTCGTTCTGAACGTGCAATTTTATTTGCAATGATAATCCACTGAACTAATATCAGCATAGATATAATAACGTTATTATTATTATCATCATTCTGATTATTATACAAAAGATAATGAACGCAAAAACCGTGCGGTGACTTCTCCATATATGATGTGTATGCTTGCTGAAAAATGGATTCTTTTTACAGGTACCGTCAATATATTGAAGCGAGTGGTCCATAGAGTAGTGTACGAAGTAGAGATAAAGTACTGAACTAATGTGATCAAAGGCAAACGTTCCATCGTGTAATTATGTGATTTATATTCTCGTGGACCAAGAGCGGCTTATGACGCCGAAGGTGTGACAACACCAGGCGAAAGGTCGGCAACGTACAAAAAAAAACCCGAACACGAAACCTCGAATTATATTACTGCTATTATTGTTAGCATCATTGTTACTTCATCTAAACAGACGTATGTTATTCGTATTGGTGCACAACAGCATATTGGAGTAGTCATTTTTCGGTTAGGGGTATCTTTACTACCTATTCATTTTCTATTGTACTTTATTCTATAAGGCGTTAGGCTTATATATCATCCGGTTATGAAAATAAAGTATCTATTTATTTCTCTAATCTGCTGTATTCTTTTGTCTAGAGTAGAACAATACTGGAAAAGCCAATCGTCTGAGAAAAGCTGACGCTGGTGGGTGTGGACAAATAGTCCAGCATTGAACATCGTACTGATAAACTGCTTTTCTTTCAGAAGACAGTGTCGGCAGTCCTGTTGGTCCCGTGTCGGGTCGTCGGAAATCAATATCGAACAGCCGCATGTCAGATACATCCAGGCTGGCCTGACTGGCAGAACATGCATTTGTAATATACCAAGAATGCGATAAAAGTTACTTCGTGTCACTCTGCTGTATTGAATGAGAGAGCTCGGTAGACTGACTACAAAACACAAACGTTCCAACGTAGAGGCGATCGTAGCTTTCAAAAATCCACATTTCTAGTTCAAACTTCATATGTGTATCTAACTTCTCTAACATGTCGTCGTCGTCGTCGTCGTGTTACAAACTAGCAGAGAAACAAATCTGCAATTTGTGCTATATTATTATATATTTCATTAGAACTGAAGCATATTAACACCCGTTTATATCTCGCCCTGGCCGAATTTTCCTTTTAGGAGTCCGGAAAGTATCATCAAGCAAAAGCATGGAGCTCGACCTTATCGTTCCTGATGTGGAACCGAACAACAATACGAGCAAGGACACGAAATGCCCCAGCCCTACGAGCTTGGTCACGACGAAGATCGTCGGTAGCAGTAGTGCCACTGCTCATTGTGCGAACTCCGCCAGCGTAAAAGTTGGCAACATGTTGACAGTCAACTCCTCACCTTCGATGAGTCCCGCGGCTGTTGCGGCTGGAAGTCAGTGTTCCGTTGTCAACGTGACTAGCCGCGGCCTCGTGCCGTCAATGATGATTCGGCCAGTCGTAACCTTGGCTCCGTCAAGCACCGGTAACGCTCTCATGCTCCCGCAATTTGTCCCGATTCGCCCAACGTCACATACGAGACAGACAAACTTGCAGTTGCCCACAGTGCAGGTAACACCGTCTGTACAGATGCAGGCTGTTCCAACGAACTCAAAAACACTAACGCTTTTGCCTAAAACACATGTCGTGCAATCAACGTCGACCAGTGGTTTGCCGCTACCGGTTGTCAACGTGCAGATCACAGGGTCACAACACCAACAAACTCAGCAGCAGCAGACGGTACAGCATCCACATCAGGCTCAGATGACGTCTTCGGCTCATCAGGGAACCCATCCTGCGGTAACTGTCGTGAAACTTCCGCCGGGAACGGACATCGAAGCGCTGACGACGACGGCGGCGGCGAGCTCCGTTAGCCAGAGTAGCGGCAGTGATTCGAGAGGAAAGGCCGGACAGTTTTGGCAGTACGTCTGCGGGGACTGTCCATATTCAACGAGTGACTACAAACTCTACAAAAGGCACCGGTCCGCAGCGCACGATACCAGTAACATGCAGACAAAGGTAGGCAACCAATGCAACCGCTCGAATAGGCGTCAACAGGTTATGTTTTGGGATACGCGTGTTAGCCTTGACCAGTCAGCTGGCTTGTCCATCGTTTCTGTATAGATGATGTTACACGTTTTCTAACGAATCTCCATAGCATAGCTTTGTTTGCTCAACAGACTGAGGTTAAGGCTTCACTTAATGCGCTTATGTCATTTCATCTTTCCAAAATATGAGAAGGTGTGCCATATCTGCAATAAGGGCTTCCTAGACCTGGACAATCATCTCAAGGTGCACGAAAATGGACGTAAGCACGTCTGTGACGTATGCGACCTCGGCTTCCATTCCCCGATCGAGCTCGAGAACCATGCCTCGCGAAAGCACCAGGGTCGGCAATTTCTCAAATGCGGATACTGCGATGTCTCTGTCGTCAAGGAAGACATATCCCAGCATCTTAACACGTGCGAGCTTTTCCGCAAGCAACAGCAACATCAGTCTACGAAGTGACCACACGACAGCGTAGGTTCAACAGAAAACTGGGCTCTGTGACAGTAATGCAAAGAAACACAAAGACGCAACTTTGTTAATCAATGCAACAAAGCGCAGGACACAATAGGGACAACTGCTACAACGACCGTTGACCTACTGATCTAAGCCAACAAAATGATAAGAACTTCGTTTTAAAAAAAAAAAAAAGACTGAATGATTAATAAAGCCAACAGCGATTGCGCTGCAACGAAGTTTTGCAACAAATGTGATTTACGGTATACTGCAACCCAATCGTACTTTGTTTGACCTGAAATGACATGCCCTGTGTTGACATTATGACAAAATTTTAAGGCGCAAATAATATTGCATTATACAATGGGTTTGATTAAACAGCGGACTAAAAGCACTGTGCCTGATTCGGATACCACACGAAGAATAAAGGCTTGCGGTTCATCACTCTCACCCCACTCGATGAATATACACCATAATGAACCATCGCGAACGTCGGTCGGTAGAGAGAGAGAGAGAGAGAGTATTGATATATATATATCAATACTCGGCTAACATATAAAACCCGCCCACGCTCCACTATTTGACTCGATTGTGTATTGCGAGTATTTTCGATTAAATAAGTGAAATTCAATTCATCGTCAATTTATGGAAAAAATTGTGGGTGGGGAACTTATTTTTAGCTGCCGCATGATAACTGAATGTTAAATTCCGGCTAGCCAGTTTTGCACGCCGTTCGTTCCTGACCTCAGCTGACGTATATACTGGGTCAGATTAGATAAATCAGCAGAATGTTCGTTGTGCTAGCGAAATCAGCGCATCTACCGCATAGTCTCACAGCCCCGATAGCGAAGGAAATTCTTTAAAATCGATTTTGAAAAACATAATTATTATGATAACTTTTGAAACGTTTCTGTACAATGAAACGCGGAAAAATCACATTAAAGGAGCGATTTACATGAGAGTCCTAGGTGGATATGAGGACACTATGGTGGCAACACCAGCCCACTATTATTACAGTGCAAAGGGCTTTCATTATTAGGAGTAGTATTGATAATTCTATAATATACAGAAACTACACAATTGACGATGCTTCAATGATATAATAAATGCGGTGTTTTTATTGTAAGTACACTGATATGTATTATCGAATCTATATATATATATACATACGTATATATCATGTCGTCAGCTAAAACATGTTGTTTTAGCGTGCATTCTGGATGAGTCAGCAATCGCGTGAGTGGGTCGTGTTAATACAAGTAGAAAGCCGTACTTTTGGGGGCAATTGAACTCTGTCAGACGTCGGTTATTGGGTACTGCGACAATTGGGTGTGCTCCTTACATCCTCCGATGAGAAGTTCCTGCAACTTTCCTCTCACAGATCCCGTCTTTGTATAATAGGCGAATTTGACAATTGTTCAAACAGATAGAGCTCTCATTGCGAATTTGATAATCGTAGTGGTTGTTCTAAGTAATTAGTGTGCATTTGGCGTGATGTTCGTTTTATGACCCAGACCCAGATTCGGAAAACGAGACCGACGAGGATTATACGAACGTTGTTGGGTATCACTTGTGAAGGTATTTGCAATTTCTAAATTTTCCGTGTCTTGAATTTTTCCAATGCAATACTGCCAAGAGGGGTTTTCCTAGCGTTCGATTGAAGCGTCAATTTGTTGCAAAGCCGGTTTAGCCGTTAATGTGATTACAGTGATTTGAAATGAACAAGTATCGGTATCGAGTTTGTGGTATTCTTGTCTTCGCGAAACGAGAGAAGTAAGTGTATTTATTGCAAACTAATAAAATATGATCTAGCCTAATTTTGTAGAACGCTCACGGTGCTGATTACTGTAGATGGGTAGGAAGGGCCCTACGCCATTGTAAGAATCTTGTTTATGTACAACGATGTGGACTCGGTTTTGATTGATGCTTGTTGTATATGTACCGAAGATGCTGAAATGATAGTAGATGTCGACTTGGCTGTTTCTGGACGCGATACGTTAAGCATAACGAGAGTACGTAACCGTCACAAAGTTTAACTCAGCATTACCATAAGGGAATATTCATTTTGTGTATATTAAAGGCACGCGCATAATCAGCATTCTCCATTTGTCCGCCCGAACGATTGGACGAGTGCTAATATCTTATTTTTTGACTAAAGAGGTTGGAGGAAACGGGAAGGAAGTCTCTCCGAAGAAATGATTTAAACGAGATGGGTCAATGTTGACTAACTGATAAGCGAATCTTGGCCCTGTAAGACTAGATAGCCGAGTTGAATCGCTAGCGTCCCAGTCCCGTGTTTTACCTATTGTGGATCCATGAACTACCATGGTTTTTGTTTATATAGTAATATATTTATGAAAAAATGAATAGTGTGTACATCTTAACTCGAGTACAAAGATAGTGCTGTGTTAGATGCGCGGAAACGTTACGCTCTATCGTCAAGAGCAAGCGGCCTCAAATGAATTGTCATACGAAATCAAAATATGTACGAGACTATATGAGCTTGTGACGAAGTTTTAACAGGGAGATGAAAAACATCTCGCCCTTCGGGACGACACGAACAAAGACTACACTCAACTTTGAAGAAAGCTAAATACAGCCAACATGTGGACGAGGGTTTGACACTGTACGTGTGTGGGTTTTCAACGATATCTATACATATCCCGACCATAATAATTAACGGAATACATATATATATATATATATATATATATATATATATATATATATCCATGTTTTCATCACATCTGTATATCATTACGGCAAATACATACAAATATTCATTAAGTGCAGTAGAATCGTTAATACTATTATGGATATAAATATGTAATTTCAATATTATCGCTTACTGGTTCACCCATACGTGTTTTTACTGACCAGGCGGTGCAAATTAACTGCAATGTATGCCTTGTAGCGAAATTGCCCGCTCCTCGAAGAATGCGCTCTATCGTCAAGATGGTGAAGTTTCCTATAGGCCCTCACTCAACGCTGAAATGATTAGGATTGTTTACCAAACAAACTTCGACTTCGGTGAGGAAGGTGCTTTCGTGAACAGGAGACCTTATCGTCTGTTTCGTTGGTCCATTTTACCTTGTCCTCTCATTGTGCTACCTTTCATTATAACGTTCAATTCATAATAATTATCGCGATAATGATGATATTCACATTATTTTTTATATACATATATATAATATACGTATACATATACAACAGAATGTAACATACATGACAATCCAATGTGTTTGCAACTATAAAGAAAAACAGTTTATGAATGAGCCAATGTTTCGTTCTTCTTTTTAATAACTAAATCCTGAAGCGATAGATTAAGATAGAGCGTGGACATCGTACTCACAGAGGGCGTTTCTTACAGATTTATACCTGTCTACAGAAGTAATGTTGACCAGCTGATCCTCTATCGATGCCTGGCGGGTCTGATGAGCCTGTTGGACTGCGGAACCAATCACCGAGGAATTCAATCGGACAGCATGTATTGCTTTCAATAAAAGCTGCTCGTGTTCTGATGAAGCTTATAGACCTTTTAGCAGATATTATTCAGCCATAGTAAAATCAACTGCAGTAGAAGTATTATCACGTTTATTGGTAACATATTCTATCTGAGCAGGTTTCTTCGCGACGAGGCTGTCGTGTGGCCCTTTAGGGCATCGTACAGCAACTGCTACACAACAAGAACAGTTTCGAATTGTAAGCACATTGCCCTCCGCATTGGCGCCATGACTTCATCAATGCCAGTCACATCTTTACTAAGACCCACAACGATTGCCTCACAGCTAACGGAAACCGTGCTTTTACGGCTGCCCAAGAACTGCAGCTGCATCAATAGCAACCAGAAAAAAGTTGGTCTGTGAAACCGATCTCAATTGATTTAACAGAGGACACCGATAGGGAAACGTTTGCCCGTGAAAATGAAATCGAAAATCGAATGGGAAAACTTCCTAGAAGACGAATTTCTTAGTCCTTTATAGCCGTAGCGGGCTATCTTGCGCCCGGCTGCCCCTCCTTCACAACGGCCATGAACACCGACCCTGCGCATTATACTTTAACGCCCACCAACATCTCAGATGGCCTTGCGAACCGATACGTATACCGCACCATCAACTACATTCGGCGATAGCTCAGTGCTCATTTTAATCGACACCTTACACTAGTACCGTACCTAATACGAAGATCTGTAACGCGAACGATAATTTAGTGGTAGGCAAATCGAACAAGCAATCAATAGAATTAGCGAACGCTCCTGCAGCTGCTGCGTCGGTTCCTGGAAGCTACATATCAATAGGTTATTTCGATCAAAACTCAGAATGCGTCTGCGAGTTTGATCACGAGCGTGCCGCAGTTCCAACTGCCCTTTCGCTGCTGCTATCGCTGGTTTGCCCTGGCCAGTCTCTTGGCCGCACCGTACACCGCGGCCGGCCCTTACTCCGTTGTTCGGGTCATGCCCCGTCTTCGTTGCCGATATTATCAGGTTCATCCTTCGGTGAGACAAGCTCAACGAGTAGCATCTCGAATGAAGTGGCCACTTTGTCACGAAATGACGCCGGCCAACTGGAGAAAGTCTAGCGGGCCATAGGCGGCAACCGAAGTCGGCAATTAGGACCAGCTTTTGGGACCCGGCTGTGTGTCGCTTCCAAGCGGGTCTTTGTGCTCGTACGTTTAAACCATCAGCGCTAAAAAAATAAAATCTAATAGATGCCAAGAAATCTGTTGTATACGATTTTCGGTGAGAAGTACGCTAGAGCTTGTACGTAACCAAATGAAGAGGGGCGCTCCGTAGTGTTTCACCCCCATTTGTATATAGGAAAAATAAGCTAATTTTCTAAAGCATTCAGTGATGGGATGACGCGTAATTACGGACTCTACACGCACATGAGACATAATCAGCGCGTAATGTAAATAATTATTGTCGCGTAAAAGTTTAAAGAGGCAGAGAAACTTCACAGTTATTCGCTTTTAAAATCTTACAATTTTGTGTTGATGCGTTGTTGAGCGTTGCTTACTTGTTCAATGTATCAATTCACTCGATCTTAGGCAAATCCATACCTTACCTTCAGTATTGCCATATAATAGCCATATAATTCCAAGTACCATCGTATGGTATAGTAATATTTTTCTTTAAATATTCTTCTTCTTCTTCTTCTATTTTTTTTTAAACGTTTTATGTTTATATGTTGAGACCTTACACTGTTAGCTTTGTACAAGTACGACACCAATGTGATTATTAGTTACTGCAAAAAAGATGCCTGTATCTTTTTTTTTTTTTCATAATCCTCTAGAAATGGCCGAACTCAATTTCTCTGCAGAGTTGACATTGGCTTCTAGACTTGGACGTGTCTGTTCTGTGCACCTAGTTAATGAAAAGATTTTTTCCATTTTATTATAGAAATTTCGAATATCCTTATACCAAAAACTTCTCGATGTGGTTGCCCCATTTTCAAACCCGAAAGGTAATGCGGGTTCTGTTTATCGATTGACTTTGACAGCAACAACAACAACGACTATCGTTCATTACGAAAATAGCAATCTAAGATATGTATAAACGTACCCAAAAAAATATGCGGACGAACGGAATGATATAAGGTGTAACTTAGCCGTGCTCGTTATTGAACGAAGTTTTTTCAACAATATCATGTTACGTAATAATGAAGGGAAACTTCGTCGTGTATATCTAAGAATGATTTATAGATGCATAGCTATGTTAGAAGTGATGAAGATAGAAGTTGCTGATATGCTCGTAAAGGAAGCTCTAAACAAGTCAGGAACAGTGATTTTGTGAGTTATATATGGGCAAATGGTTCCTATCCACAGTAGAATCACCTTGATTGATTCCACTAAGTGTCTTCCACTAAGTGCTGAAAATCCGGTATGATCCAAAAGGTATTTCTCGGCAACGCCGTATATACTAAGGCCTGAGATATTACAGTGGTACAATGTACAACTACAGTAATAGTAATAATAATCATTGTTATTATTATGTAACAATCTAACTAACATACGTTGTATGTTACAAAAGCCACCTTTGGAATATTGTTTGCGGTGGTATCGCAGACGGTATCTAAATCAACCCTATACAAAACTAACGTTTCAAGCTGACTCCGAATATATGAATATGCCGAAAAAGAACAGCAAAATAACTTCGTAAACCATGACTGCCGTGAACAAGGTTACAGTTAGTTTTGTGTGTTTAGGTATCGAAGAGGGCCAGAGGAACTTGTATATTTCCGTATTCTGACGGATGAAACCGGAATCATGGACCACGATCTTGACGTGCTCGCCAGCACTTCAATTGATTTAAGCCGAGCACGAAACATTCATACAGCCTTTGCTGCCGCAACTTATAAAAGAGCGAGAACGAAATCAAAAAGCAGTTTATGAAAGGCCAGAACTTCCTCGGACACCAGCCGCTGGATACGCTCGCGCTTATTACTCTCAGGCTACACAGGACAAATCGAGCAGCTACATCGGAAACTTGATGAGCCTCGTCATAAAAGAGAACCCCCTATATTCCTAAAAAAAATTGAACTAGTATTTATATATCAGTCCTTATAGGCCGCCTACTGAAGGCGAACCGATTCGAATCCTGTAGTATCGCATGCCATCGTAAATCTGCCGACTTCGCCCGCACGGTCCACTAGTCAAACTACGTACAACGATATCTAAGTATGCCAATTGGGAGATCTTGTATCACAAATCTCTATTGTAGGCAAAATGTTTACGCTTCATTCTGGAGACGATGACAACCTCTTGATCCTCCGTTATTATGGATCGATTAAATCTGAAATGATACTAACGCACAGGTCGGGATACTTTCAAACACGCACTCTTTTTAAGCATCGCTATCGAATTGCCTCGTAGGGTGTAAGTACAATCTAATTTTTTCTAAAAAGGGATTTTTACAGAAGTCATACACAGGTTGCAAGTTACCTATAAACTAACACGTGTTTTTTTTACAGGTTTAGTTTACAAAAACCTTTGTGAGGAGCCATCAGACGATCTGGCCTAATTTCAAACCTGAGCGCTAGCTGAGCTTTAACGACAACTTATAATAAATGGTTAAGTTTATTAAGAAATAACTAAAAACGTGTTCGTTGAAATAAATGGTCGATGTAAGGAATTTAGATGGTTATTAATCCACTGTTTTCACCTTTGCCATGTGACTTTTGTTGAGTTCTGATGAACATAGGCCTTCACTAGGAATCTAACCCTGGAAGAAAAGACATGTTGGATACCGTTCATTCCTAACCTTCACGCTGTGTGTCTAGGTGCTGATGCCGCCCAGAGAAGCTTATCTAATATAGATGGGTCGAGCAGTTCGGCGAGGGAAAATCGCTTTATGCCAGCAAATTGTCAGACATTGGCCTCTGCTGTGCTCAATTGGGCCACAGGAGAGTGCACTGAAAAAGCTGAATCTAGTAATCCCCAAACAAAGTGGGAATTAACAAAAGGTTCTTGTTCCCGCTCTATGAGCACACGTAAGCAGGGATTGTCAATAGGTACCGGCCAATCGACTAATGTCCGCAGCTCAGAATGCATCGTCCAAGAGTATGTCAATTGTGAAGAGGCGGTACTCTCGGAGCCCCAACAACAAGAGGATCAATGCGAATTTTTGCCAGACCTAATGTCTGTAGATAGCAGCATTTTTAGCTCTCCTCAATGCGACCAGACAATGCCAACGATAAGCACTACCGGCGAAGAACTCTACGAAATACCTATAATGTCGTCGGTCAAATGTGAACCCGCAAGCCCATCGTTTGAATCGACGACACAGATGAAAAGGCGTCGATTGATGCCGACTCTTGTATCCCACCTTCAAATGCCGTACGCAAAAAAACCAGCGCCCTCTTCTATTCTAACCAGTTCCAGTCCGATTATCCTTAATACGACGACGGCTACTACATCTACTAATTTTCTTTCGTATGTAAATGGACGATTTCGAGAGACTCCGTCTGTTGATGTTTCGACTTCGTCTTCACCGTCACCGGCATCAGCTCTATTGCCAGCAACATCAAATATCTCGTCAGACACTTTTCCCAGTAATAGCGCAATTGTAGGCGGCAGGCTACTTCGCGCGCGTAGAAACGCTCCGGCGTCAGTTGGAAGTTTGTTAGCATTATCATCATCATTTTCGTCGTCGTCGTCGTCGTCGTCGCTCGAATTAATGCATGCTGTCACAACCCTTAACAAACAGGATCGTGAAGACTCTGACGAATCGACTACCGACGCAGTTAGCAATTCTTCGTCAGCAAAGACTTCACGTCAACAACAACGACCACAACAACAGCAGCAGCAGCAGCAGCAAAGCCCGCCTGCAGCCTCCCCAGTCAACGAGTTGCAACCAGCTTCGGCTGCCAGCCACTCGTCTCGATACAATTCGGCGGAGCGTTTTGCAAACCTGAAACGAAGTTTGAAATTGACGTCGCCCGCCAGATTCGTCTGTAGCAGATGCAAGATCAACCTGTCTGGTCGTAGTGAATGGGCTAAGCACCTCGAATCCCATAGAAAGTGACGTATATACACATATTTAATTCTGTACAAATCCTATAACCCAAGTATAGGCAAAAAAATATGAATGCAGAGTCTGAATGATCTTTTGAGTGTGACCGCAAACTATGACCTACGCCGAGTGTCTAGCTTCCCGTCACTAAGGCCAGTGAGACTGTCGTAAGTGGTCAGAGGTATCACGTGTGTCATAAGGTGTTCGAGAAAATGTCGTAGGACAAACAACCGTAATATTCAAATATTTGTCTCATTTAAAAGAATAATATTAAACAATGCATTGTCCAAACTTCAATAAAGGAGCCTGAACATGTACCTTCTACAAGTAGAAACGTGTGTTCAACATAGTATACGTATACGACGATATATAACATCTTAATGAATTCTTTCCAAGATGTCCCTTTTTGTTAGAAACAAACAGAACGGCAGACATTTTAACTTAACTAGAAGTAAGCTATCTATAATTACTGCATAGACGTTACAAATTAGACATATGCTTTATAATCGCGTAGTTGTTCAGTGCACCCGCAACCACATTGCGATATTTAGATGCTTATCGTATAGAACTGTCTGCCTTTTTGGGTTTTACATAATTTGTTTTTTAATGAAATTGATGTTCTTGTTTTCCTAACATAGTCCTTAGATTGTTTTTGTTTCGGTAGAAGCTTAAAGCTATTAGCAGGGTGTTATCAACGACCCCTTCTTCGATAATGTCGATCGTCTAAACATTGACTTGTGTGGCGTTATGGTTTCCTGTTTGACGGAGTCTAATAAAGCTTTCTTCTTGTAGGAAATCTGGAAACGACACGGTCCCAAGACTAAGACGTACCGCGAACCTAGGCTGAGCTGATATGACCATACAAAATGCCCAGAACCCGTACGTTCAAGATGCGGGACCCCGGATCTCAAGGCCGAAGGCCTTAAATGATTTGCTATGTGCTGCACTATTGCTTTTTTTTTTAGGACACTGTCGTTTTAATTAAAATTATGACTACGATAATAGTTTAATCGATAACCGGCTAATTTGATACCGTAACTGACTAGATAGTTGTTTTCGTAGCTTCAACTGATCATCGTGTCCGAAGTAAATGACAGACAACCGTTGGGAATCAAAGCTTCTTAAACCTTCGAGGGTACTTTTCAATGTTTAAACACAACGTCCGACATAGAAAAGTAAACTTTTCACCAGCTATCCAGAAAAGAATTACTTACACTACTAATCTTGATTAGTGAAAGAGGATGCACTATTAAAAAGCAAGCTCTGTGACGTCTTGCAGATTCGCTCGATGATCCTGCAATAGAGGAACCTATCGAACCAAACCTTTCCCGGATGCATTACCGAGACTCGTTAGGGGCAACCTCCACGATGAGGGCTTCGGTGATTTCGTCAAGACGTCGCAAAAAGGTGGAGCGAGCTCAAAGTGCCGGGTGTGGTTTCATCGGCACGGGACCGTTTCGTTGTGGAGTTTGTGGAAAGCTTAGCTCGACTCGAGCTAAAGCTATGGGGCACTATCGGGTTCACACGGGCGAGCGGCCTTATCAATGTGAAGTGTGTTTCAAGACTTTCAGCGACGGAAGCAATTTCAAACGACACCGCCGACTTCATCTTGGGTCCAGCGTGGATCCCGTTGTGACGGACATCTTGTGACAGCAAGTCCTCACCTCGTTTATGAGTAGTGATGATGATCTATAATGACGAGTCTATTGCCGTGAATTTGCTGTTACTGTTACGTCAGGTTCTAAAATGATAACGATGAATCGATTTTCTCTAGTGAGCAGAGGGTGGATCTGAATATGGAGCTCATGGAAATGCTGTTTTTGGAGACAACACATCGATTTGCAACAAAAATAATCTCGGGGAGCTGAGGAAGACACTGTGTAGTTTTGTAATATTACGCTTGCCACTTCGGTGATTCCTGTATATAGCGGTTGCCTATCGGCGTGTGTGCTAGAGTACGTTTGTTCGATCCAATGGGGAGGGTATAGTTGTTTCATACGGCATCGAAATTCAGGTTCACTACCATGGAGCTAAAAGAACTTTTTATGGAGCTTGATTAATTTGTACCCGTTAAAATTGCCCGACAAAATTGACGAGTGTGTTCAACGACGGCATATGAAATTTTAATAATACCATAAAATAACAATTTCTATTAAGTCAAAACTGGTTAGGATAGGATAGGTGTGAAGGCGCTTCGTTGTCCAATGTCAAATCTGTGTGATCTACTGTGCATCCGTCTGGTCAAGGTTTATTTTCAGTTAATCAGAGTAACATGCATGTGTTCGTCCTGACTAAAAGGTGTTTTTGTAAATAGCCGTGCAGATTTATATTTTCATCTGAACTGCAACACTGACAAAAACTTTCTGAACAAATGTGGAGTCTGTATAATGATTGTTGCTGTTGGTTTAATTGCAAAAACTTGAGAGCTAAAGAAAAATCAGCACGATCAGGAAATAGGGGAAAAACATCTTGGCCGATCGGCTGTGACGTATAGATGTAATTATAATGGAGCTATTTTACGAATGAAAGTTTTATGTAACGACGTCAAGGTCACCACTTCGGAGATAGACGACACTTTACAGGATATTATTTATTCTAACTTACTGATATGTGTGTATGTGTGTGTTTACGCGCTTATATGTTTTTGGATATTTTGTGTAATAAAAACAAAGTATACGAAGTTTTATCTACGACTACTTCAAAAACGTACCGTTTACGCTTACGATTTGTATTATTGGAAGGCAAAAATTACCACAAGTTCACTAATTTGTCTTACCTTAGTGCGATGCACACGAACTAAATAGAATGAAACACGAATGAATCGAACAAGCTTTCGTTTAGACAAAAAAAAATAGGGCAATTGCAGTTAATGTTAAAGCATCCCATTAGAGTAAATAGAACCCTGCTCACCTTGAAACAGACAGCTTTCTTTCTAACGAGGCGTATGTATATGCCGTGTTTCGAAACTGAAAAAATATTGCCTATTTTCTGTGTTGGAAGTTTCTTTAACTTACGACCTCTCTCGCACGTGTCATGCACTCGGGTCTTTTTTTTTTTTTATAATTTCTATAAATAAGAAAGGTAATTGTGTTTGTAATGTTAGAGTGAACTGGAAAATAGCGTTTGTGTTCTGTGGTTGTGAGCATGTTCACGGTATGTCTCCAAAAACAGGCTAGAATTAGCTAAATCGTTGACATTCACTGCAGAAGATTTCTTACGGCCAGTGCTGTCGAACTTCTATCTGCCGCCTCGTTAGGCGGTGTCACCGGTAGAAGTGTGTGACAACGACAAAAAGTATGATATATGTTACATAGAATATGTAAAGTAAAAAAACAGTTGTCGTTTTTAGTATCAGCTATGACTAGCATTAGGATAAACCTCGCTGCGGAAGATCACGAAGTACTATTCTTACTGATCTCAGATTGAAATCCGAAGATATTTAACTTGATAACGAGATTCAAAAACTTTGACGAACGAGATTGCGGATTATGTATAACCAACTACTATGTAACGCAGCTTACAGAAGTGGACGTAACGGAAAGACATCTAGTCGTGCAGGCATAGTTTATGCAGATCTTAACTCTCGCACTATAATTGAAGGGAAAAATAATTGCAGAAAAAATTGCTGAGCAATAAAAATGAGACAAAGCAGAAATAAACCAAAACACACAGTACCGTATGAGGACTTTTATAAAGCTGCTATCTTCTACTTTTGTGGAAAACCGCGCGATAACACGAAGTTATTTTTGCTTGCTAATCATATATTTTTGCCAATAAGAGGATTTACAATATGAACTGAAGAAAAGATTTAGCCAACGCCGCTGTCTTGTACAAGTACGGTATAATATTATCTTCAGGTGATCAGTTCACTCTGACCTTACTAATAGTTTGTTCCTTTTGCAGCAGTCAACGGCGCTCGATTCGGGAAGACCGATGCATAGAGCTTGTTTTTCGATATGGGTGATATCGCTTCGTTCCTTGACCGATTCAATCGTGCTTGATCTAGGAAAACAAATATGACACAAAACAATATTATCTTCAGGCAAAGCATGGCTTCGAGCAACACGAATCAACTGATGTAATTTTAGTCTAATTAATAAATTGTGTAATCTTCTTAGGTGCTGCTCTTTTTTGGACCCGCAGTTTTGTACGCTAATAATGCGGAAATCACTGTTGTTAACAGAAATCAACAAACTGAACCGGACATTTAATTTCCGCAAAAGGGTACGATATGCCGATTGTAAACAAATAGCTCACTGTGTAAAAATATCATTTCTATTATATGCATTGACGAATGATCGGTTGATTGGCCATCCCCCACAGTCTGCACCGTAACTCTGTGATTATCGGCCATCATTGTCTCTACCACGCAGTTTCCAATTGATATGAGTTTTTACATTAACAGCTGCCCGCGATACGTGTGCTAGCAGCGCAATAGCCGTCGTAAAAACTGTCTTCAGTCTGTAATGCTATATCTATACGATCCTATCACTTATCTATTCTATAACACATATGTATATGTGTCTGTGTGGTACCTTATTTCGTGCATCCTACCCGCGTTTTATCGATGACAAAAATTCCGACAACGGTACAGGTACCGATAACGCGTCAACGTATCAAACAGTCATCCGCCGGGTGGGGCGCTTCAGTATCTCGAAGATCGAACACGACCGTGACAAGGGCAGCGATAGCAATGACAATAACAAAACAGTGAAAGAAGCGAAGCGTAGCGAGACACGGAAGGACAGCAGCAAGTCAACTTCTGCGTCGACTGCTGCTGGTGGCGACGAAGGGGCAGGACGTGACGTAGCCGCTGTAACTGCAGGGACCAGCAGCAATCAGGCCGCTAGGGACGCAGCGGTTCGCGCCAAAATCCTGGTCGCTTTACCACCTCCGGGCACAAGCGGCTCAGATGAGGACGCGGCCATCAAATTGGCGGCGGCCACAGCCGTCGACGAGCTTTTGGCGGCGTACGCAGCCGCTGCAGCCGAAGAAGAAGATCTGGAAAGTGACCTAAGCGCAAGCTCAGGCAGTGCGTCCGAAGACAAGGAAAACAATAATCCATCAAATGATGACGAAAGTCTCGACGAGTTGGCCTTTGAAGAAGGTAAGGGAAAAAAGAGTACCTGATTGCCGCGGTGGTTATTTTGAATTAATTTCTTCTCAACCGGTTTTCGCTCACAGGTTTCTAGGGGCCAGAGAATTTGTCAGCATATTTTGTCTGCTAGTAGCGCGTAGTTCAAAGCAAGAAAGTTGTTCAATTCTAAAGTCCGCCGGATTCACTTGTGATAACCTAACAGTTTCAATGGAGAGATGCAAAAATCATTCGTGATCATCTTGCACTGGAAAACCGTACAAGTTCTAAAGAACGAGACTATGGTGTTTTCAGGAGAATGGCAAAAAGTGATCGATCGAAACGGTGCATACTGAAGTTCAGTAATCTCAGTTCAATATAAATAATTGTGTTGAAATACTTGCTTTAGCTTAAAAGCCGTCCATACTTTTCAACCATTCATTACGAAAGTTATGAAAAGGTTATCCGAAGACATTTTTTGCTCCCGAGAAGAGTAACAAGGCTTGATTTTTCTGTCGATTCGAGTACTTGTGTGGAAGTATCGAATAGTTTTGACGATGACAGTGTTACCTAAATTTGTTGATTATTGAGAGTAATACCATCGCAACAACCCAACTGATCATCAATTTCTCATAATGGATTTATTTCACAGAGGGCGGTTGCCAAGTAGAGGAAGCTCTAGGAGCGGCACCTGCGGTTTTCATTTTGCCCCTGATCTGTGGCCACTGCAATTATCGGTCGATTTCGCAGCGGGACCTAATCAATCACATGAACACCTGCAATAATGGCAAACCATTTCCATGCAAGTACTGCAACTACTCGTGCGGCAACAAACGCGACCTTCGGGAGCACGAAAAACTACACAAAGAGAGCAAATTCGTCTGCGACATATGTGGCAAGCTATTCCGTGATCCGATGCGTCTCGATGCCCACCGTGACGCTCATGTTGGCTCAATCACTTGCAGTTTATGCGGAATGTCATTCCCGACGCACCGTAGCTTCAACGACCACGTCCGTTCACATCATCCGGAACGAGGCGCAACGAGTGGCCCCGCTGGCGCTGGGGCTGCCCATTCGACAACCCGCCATCATCGTGAGGGGGGCCGAAGCGCTAGTGCAGTTTCGAATAGAAGTTAAACAGCATCTTCCTTTTCTATTGCGAAGTATTAACTATTAAGGTTTTGTTCATAACAGGTTGAAAATGTTGACGGAAGGCAGTACGAATTGGAAATTACAAATAGAAAGAGTCAATATGTAGGAATTTTTTTGAAGCGATACCGTTACTTGATTGACTAGATATGATGTTAGCTGCCCATTTTCGTGTAAAAAGGAAGCAAAATCGGATGTGGCCTGTAACAGCTCACGGCACTCGGAAATAGAAAACTATTTCGATAGCTACAAACATAAACAAAAAGCCTATATAAATGACTAGGTATAAAAAGGTAATTAGTAGGACAAGCTGAAAGGCCAGAAAAGGTACTAGCGAAAAAATTCCACATTTATAGTGTCTTATTTCGAATGGACTGCTGGGCGCTGACTTAAGAACCCAAGTGTCTCAAACACGTGACAGCGTGTCACAACTTAGGTGGGCAGACGAAGATGGTTTCAGATCTTTGTCCGTCAGCACAGCCACTTGGCATATGCTTGGTGCCGCTATTTTCGGGACCCCGAGCCTATAGTAGGCACCTGTCGAAACTCTATAGAGCTTCAGATAGTACCATAGTCAATCTGCCTGCACCGGTGTCAGTAGGCCAACGGTAGAGAGAGGTCTGATAAAATATGTTTGCGTAGCAACGTCTGAGAAGCGTGTTACGTATCACATCGTTAAGGAAGAGACATAGGGCAAAACAAAATGCCGGTTAATGTTTTCCATGATTACTTAGCGAGTATGATAACGGGACTATCCTGAGAATTCGTGCGTAGAGAGGGGTCTACCTAGCCTTGTAGAGAGGGCGTACTCATAGTATACCTCCATTAGCAGTTGCTTAAAGAGACTGGAGTTGCTTGAAGCATTATCGCAGATAATTACTTACTCCAGCATCGCGAGATCTGTTGATGGCCTGGCTTACCTCTTCACGACGTGACGGGATGGTGCGGTGACGTACATCGACAAGTAGTTGTATTGCCACTACGACTAGTTGGAAAAAAATTGCCACAGACTAAAGACAATGCCGATATACTTGCTTCGAGTGAAGGTCAAGCCGTATCCTGTTGTAAATCAAAATGCGAGAAAGCTAAAGAGGTACTAATAAGATTAGATTGTAAAAACCTTTCCCGTTCCCCCTTTTGATGGGTCTTCATCTCGTTCTCGGAATGCTACTCAGCGAAATTGATTGCGGTGGAACGGCAGGCCTTGGCTCAGTACAGTGCGAATGTGATTGTCCTTAATAAGAGGCTACTGCCGGAAGTTGACTTTTGGGCACGAGAACCTTGTGCGCCTGCCCCAATACCGAGGGCAAGGCTGTGTCGAGCAGGTGTACACGATGGCTGTTACTGAACCACGGTACCGACAATAAAGACGGTGACACAATTGTCGTATTCACCTCGTACAGTCAAAGATGGCTAAAGCATAAGAAGCGAAACTTCGAAACGGCAAATAGGAGGCAAAGTGCACAAAAGCCTAGATCAATTGTGCACATAAATAAAGCTGATACAAACCTATCTACTAAAGTTTAACTTTTGTCGCAAGACGGAGAACAAGACGGTGTTGTCACCGTAATAATACTGAACAGCTATAATGACAAAAATATCAAGATCTACACAATCACAAGAAAAACAATTGGGTGCAAGGACGTTACAACTATGAAAAAAGATATAATAAAAACACGAATACCACGGTGAACAAATGACTAGAACTAAAAACCAACAGGTTTTTGAAACGATACAGCTGTTTTACTAAACAATACAGCAAAAAGAACTGACCCTACTCGAACTTACCCTACCCCCTCACCTTATGGGGGGTAAAAAAAGGTGACAAAGTGCACATTTGACTTTTTTTTATTACTATTTGTGCGCATTAATCTCGCTAGTGACGATACAGCGTTATCTATTTCATAAAATAACTTACTAGTCAAACAGCCAAAGAACTACAACTTGGGCTGTCGGAATTTACTGTTATTAATATCATGATATCGAGTATAATTACTGCTATTATCGTATTGCCAATAAAAAAATCATTGCTCGCGAAGGTGATAAAGCTCAATTGACCCAGTATAATACAGCCAGAAATATTAACTTTGTAATAATAACCTCTTCTCGAGCAATCATACATAAATAGGACGAGTACTCCGCTTCTATAATACATAACATATTTAAACAGTTACGTTTTAATAACGACGGCCAATTTACCGGTCGCCTCTAATGTTTCATTTTATTTTGGGCTAGAAAATGAATGAGTGTTCTCTCTGGTGAACCGAACAAGTATTCTCTATTCTTTCACATGACAAAGCATGTTATTACGATATATATATATATATATATCCCACTGTTGCTATTGGTTGGGGCGTTTGCTTGACTTCTGTTCTGAAGCTTTTCCTCAGAAGCCAGAGCGAGACAGAAAAATATAGACAGAAGAACGAAAAGACGACTGGAGACAGCCCGAGAGAGACGGACAAAACGTTCGGTAGTGGTGTCTGTAAGCAGCGGCGGTATCCAAAATGACAAACAGTCAGTATTTGTCGCCAGCAGTATATATATCTATATATATACGATCTCGAACCTTTAGCGTGGCAATACAATGGTACAACAGGTCCACAATTATTATTATGATTTCCTCTTTTCTCTGTGCTTCAGTACATGGCCAGACTAAATTATTATATATACGTATGTACAACATGCGGATTTCCCTTATTATTAGTATAATTATTACTATATGAAGATCGCTGGACAATTCGTATGTTGTTGTTTGTGTCTACTCAGAATTTTGTCAGAAGACAGCGAAGGTTTCAGTAAAGCAATCTCTTCAGTACCATGACCCACAGCAGCTCCCTCTACGGTCAAAATAGTGAAGTTTGTTACACGGGGAGTTTCGTATGTACGGTACATAGGATAGAAAACTAAGCAGGAAGAAGAGGCAGCAAAGTTCGTATGGCGATCTGCGGTAATAGTTAGGGTTATTATGATTTAGAAAAACACCAACGGAATGCTTTAGTCAATGACGACGCAGAAACAACCCTATACGGTCTCAGAGCTTTTCTCCAATGCCAGAGACAAAAAAAAGTCTCCGCCGAATAGAGATTAGTTACGACGCGGTAAGAAAGCCGTGTTTTTATTGGACGTACCCACTGCTAGCTATGACAAAACCTTAGTATGCATTAGCTATACAGCCTATTGCTAGTAGCAAATATTAAGCTAACAGAACTAATGTAGTAAGCACACTGGGAAAAAGAACAGACGTTCACGGTGACGTGAGACAAAGAAACATATAACATGAGAAAAGTCAAGTGAAGGAATTATCCAGCTATAGGCAAGAAGCTCAGACAGAAGCAAATGCCATCGGCTGCACTGAACTTGAATAAAAACTAAAATGGGCATAATGAATAGTGGCTTAAAGTAAAAAGCTTGTTCGCCCGTCAGATAGAATGAGACCTTTTAATCGATCTCTAGCAGCAACTGTTAAAGTCGTGATAGCAAATAAAATTCTAGTATCCATGAGCTAAATTACGTGTTACATGACGGTACTTTGTTGATGTCTGTTCAGCTAGCGGTTTCAGCACCTGCATTAACACCTTGCAGCACGCAAGATGTAAATCGGGACGTGTTCCCGCGAACGATTGCTATCAGAAAAACACGAATAATCCCTTTTCAATGACTATCAAGACGCCTCAATATATAATAGATTCCCCGCGGCATCGATCGACAAATGTCTCCCGAACCATTCTATACTATACACAATGATGACTCTTATTAAAGCTACGAGTGCTAGTATGATTATTAATGCAGATATTGCTAATATATGCCAAAAATATAACACGCGTTGCCAGCTATTATCTGTCTACTAGGAAGTACTATTAAATAAACAACGTAGTTGCTTAAACATGGTTCAACGTTATTTCCGACCGTGTAAGCACAATCTCTTTTCGCATGCTTTAACATCAGTGTGGGATTTCTTGCATAAGCTTTAAGGGTGGGTACAAAATTTTCCTTACGGGAACGAAATTGGGTGATGCTGTAGTATAGGTACGATGATTGAACGAATGAACGCATTACTGACCGATCGTTCTTCTTTCAGGTACGAGGCAGATTATTTGCTATGTTTGATGCTCGGTTGGATCAATGACACTGGGCTTTATGGCCATCGTTGAATACTCGCGTTAAAGCGGCACCGCTAGCTCAAAACCATCATGTGCAATAAAGAAACAGAATCGGCTCTAAACTATCTGCAACGTTTACTCCCTCTATGAAAAGTTCCAACTTTATATTTCGATTCGTCGTTTTAATGATTCCACATTTTAATGTAATGTGAGGTAAAATGTTGCTATACGGTACACTAAATGCTGGAGCTCAAACACTATGCACATTGGACTTTTTCTTTTTTATACGATGTAATGGGAAACTATCACAGACCGGCTACGTTTATTGGTGGTCAAACCTCACGTATTAAAGTTGTCTTTCGATGAGCATCTTCCCCTACGAACATGGCTTTATTCGGTGTACAGTTTAATAAGATTTATTAAATTGGATGTTGTCTATACGGCGTCACCCTTTTAGAAGACGACGAGAGCGGCGAAGATGAATACGAACTCGATGGAATCGTCCAGCAGGAATTCCTCGTGGGCGACCCTGACCTCATCTTGATGGGAAGTGATAAAAAGTTCACCTGTGAACTCTGCTCGTACTCAACCAATCGTAAAAGCCATTACAACGAACATATGGCTGTACATACGGGACATAAGCCTTTTGCGTGTCAGTACTGTGACTATCGGTAAGTGTTGTAGATCGGATGATGGCTGCGTAGGCCGTTCTGTGTGTTAGTTGGCTGTTTGCACAACAAACCTAATCTGAATCATAACAGGTGAAGAAAACCGTACGCGGTACCTTTTGTGTCCTCTGCTGACCTTTTGTTCTTTCGACTGTTGCAGCTGTACAAAGAAATGTCACTTGGCCCGCCACGAACGTACGCACACTGGCGAAAAACCCCACGAGTGCACACAGTGTGGGAAAAAGTTCAATCAGCGCGCCTCGCTAAACGTCCACCTTCGTGTGCATACAGGTGAGAAACCCTACACTTGTCTCGGGTGTGGCAAGTGTTTCGCCCAGCGCAACGGACTCAAGGATCATGTGTATGCTCGCCATATGGACAAAGCCGACGTTCTACTGCAGGTGGCGCCACTTGTCAAGCTTTGAACTCTAATAAAATAACTATACGTAGTCAACACGTTACCCAAAAAAGAAAGCCAGCAACCGCTTCGATTCACTTTGTGTGGTACAATTTATTTTGGAAAATAGTCGCGTCATCATCTATTTATGCTATTATAGAATTCAGGTTGAAAATAATGCCGATGGTATTATTTTGGTAAACGCGTTAATCGCTGCTAATTTAAAAACGGGATTAAAAGTTTTCTGAAATCGATACGCTGAGAGAAAATAGTCCTGTTGTGGGAGTTGCCTTCAGAGCTTTACGGTCGAACGGTTCTGAATTTCGCACTATGTCAACGTCTAAATGTACGCGGAAAATGGCAGTGTTCAATACAATAACAGTTGAAACGACCGTATACATTCGCCTATCAATGATAGAACATCAGCAAAGAGTTCTGGTAAGTCCTTTTGGTTGCTGGCACGATAGGTGCTCGTGCAGTATGCATTCTGCACAATATGAATATTGTGTGATTGATTACGCCGTACCGGAAAAGAACCACCTTAGAGAAATTAGATTGTGCTATATTGCTTCATAATATATATATATATATATATATATATATATATATATATATATATATATATATATAAACACACACACATAAACCTGTAGAAGAAAATTAATACCGCACCATGGGACACAACTCGATATCTAAATCCATAAGGAGATATACATATAAGATATAGAAAATAGTAATGCTATTTTGGATTTATTGCTTTTGACAACGCGAACCGTGAAAGTAACATAAAAGCTATATCTATATACCTATTTAAAATTAAACATATATATATATATGGAAACGATGGGTTTCGTACACCCTGTTGATCTCATATTATATGAACACAGTCTTCTTAAATTACTTACAGGGATTATTATAACTACTACTGCTAGTACTATTCCAATGTAACAAAAGACCTTTTCGAGAAATAAACGTGCACAGAATATCTGCGCAAAAGCTGACGCTGAACGAATTTGTCAATGTTGGGTTTAAGCCTAGTTTTATTTTGTTTACGAGGCTTGTTTTTGTTGTTCGTAACGTGGTTTCGACACCAAAATGGTTATACGTTCTTGGCTGGTCTCTACGACGTATGAAATGTTTTATTTATGAGAGTATGAATAAAGTCTCGGTTGCAAAGATAAATTCTCCTGGTTCCCTTGCTTGTCTGCAGGCAGACACAATAGTAATGATCTCGGCCATTATGATTTATTGAAATGTAGTTTCTCCGCTTGTGACTCATCTAACAGACTGTTTACTTCCAGGTGTTGGCGACCTATGACCTATGTTCGCCCACTGTACGGCCCCCACACTCGTTCCACAATGATCTCATAGTAGCGAAGATACAAACGGTTGTTTGAACCTTCATAAGACCATGATTGGTACTAGCTCTTTCTTTCGACCTCGTTCATTTACCCTAACCTACAATCAGCTTTTTACCTACAATTAGTTTTCGATAATCATAACGTGTTTAGGCAAGCAGCGTACGTGACGCCATATCGGCACTTTTCAATCAAAACCTCGGAATAGTGACTAGTAGGTGCCTGTGTTAAATAAAGCAGACTACGCCGAATAATTGTATCGCGTCATCAGTTGCTCGTTTTCCAGTAATCTGACTCAGTTCCGTTTCCTTCGTGTCACCTAACTAGCCAAAGCTTCGGAGCTTTACACGAACGATTACTAACAATTTGTGTCGCTCGCTGTGCCTTGGCCATGAGCAATTGAGTGCTGCTTTCACAAATCGGAAATCAGTGTGCAAAGTGTACAGTACGCCCATGCCTTTTTGTGTGCCTACCAATTGCCATTGCTTTTCTGCGAGCTAACCCCGGATCGTACGCTGACTAACATCATTAACCATGGAAACGACAGCAGGAATAGCAGTGCCAACAAAGAGTATTCGAAGTTAAGCATGGTCGTCACTGCGGCACGACTCACAAGGCTACTGCTGTTCCTGTTTGTGCGTATCGTACGTAAGCTTATGCTTGGAATAATGGACAATTAGGTGTGATTTCAAAGTGAATGGCCTTTCTTCTGGGTGTATTCAACAGCGGCTCCTAACACGCCAATAACGAGCAATACACGATATAAAGGGCCAGTAAATGACAGCAATGTTCCCAATTGTTTTGTTTCTGATGGCACCGTCACCTGCATCGTCAATTTAACTACTGTTGTCATGGGGTTGATTCTCGATCTGCTGTGCAATCCCGATTTGGTTCTGCCTTCATCATTTCGCTTTGTGGTGGTTCCTGATTTGCGCAGGGCTCAATTTGGCTGTTCTTACGCCCCTGCTCGCTGAGTTGGCGTCCAGCGATGACTTGCCAGGGCCCTCGTTCCAGAATCGCACTTGCCCGGTCTGCGGGAAAACCTTCTCCCAGATGTCTTACCTCAACTCCCACCTTTTGCTACACTCGGGCCACAAGCCATTTGTGTGTGGCCTGTGTGGTAAAGGCTTCACACAAAAGACGAATTTACGCACACATGAACTCAAGCACTCAGGTGCCAAACGTTTCCGGTGTGAGTACTGTTTGAAGGAATTCAGCAGTAAGTACTCGCAACAAGTTCATATTCGAATTCATACAGGTGAGAAGCCCTACGCTTGCACATATTGCGCTTATAAAACGGGCAATCCCAATGGCTTCAGAGCGCACTTCAAGATATGTAGCGCTAAACATGCCCGAAGAAAGGAATAGCGTGGGCCTCCGGAGAACGAAGTAGTGCTACAGACCCGGTAGACCTCAGGCGAGAGAGATTGGAGCGTTGCGTGCGGCATCAACGCAAGGAACTAATTTTGCCATTAAAGAGGTGTTTTTATGAACCACTGGTTGCCTTGCTATGAAGTCTCGTTTTTATTACATACTAGAACAGACGTGGGAAGTAATTTTACAATATCAAAGCTTGCTATAAGTATCATATCTATACTATTACGGTAAATTCGCTCGATACGGGCCATAATAATGAATGCAAACAGAGCGAGATTATTATAATAAATACGCGTATAGCATGCGAAGTGCGGCTGCTGTATTTTGATATGCAGTCGTGCGCAGAGCCGTGTCATCGTGCACCCGGCACCCGGTGACAACTACTAAAGAGCAGCACAAAAACCGAAAAATCAGACGAATCGTGTAGAATTTGTTGAGATATCAATGTTATGCGCCAGCGCAAATTTACCATTAATTTGTTTTTATATATATATATATATATCTCGTATCATATATACAGTAAGAGATAAGTACACGATATGTCCGGTACTAATTATGGAAATTACTAAAGATAAAGCTGCGCTTTTTTGGAAGGCATTATCCGCACACCCAAATCATTCAAGCACTTCGAAAGACGCGCGTCTAATTCGAAACTATTAGTGTTAAAAGCGTATTGTGTGTAAGGTAAATTGAGGACGTTCGTTTCTCGCGTGAACGATCCATGAAAGGGAGCATTTTATAGAAGTCGCACAATCTAAGGACGGATAAAAATCATTGCTGCGTCACGCAAATTCCTTACTCGTTTTTTTCCCATTTTACTACATATACACAATTGTTAATACTTCGCGGTATTTTGGGCCTTGTGACCCAAGTGAGAACTTGAAGGGCTTTCGAGGATTTCGCGTGTTGAATCTCGTATGATATCACTATTGGGAGCTTGAAAAATTTGGTTGATTTCGCTATGAGAGTCGGGGGAGTTTGACTTCATTCTGAATAAGTTGAGTACGATTTGCATCATGTTTGACTCGTTCATTGGTCGAGCTTGAGCTAGAAATAGAATGCTTGCCAAAACCCTACTCATCACTGAGATCAGTTGGCGACCGTATGAAAAATGGGTATTGAACGTTTTTGTCATTTAGCTCATTTTGTTCATGGAGGAGCAACAGCGGCTGCATCGTACATTTGTTTTGGGCATTTTCGTGTTACTTATTTCCCTATCGCTGTATATTCTTTTTGCCTGTTAATGACGACAATCGAAATTGGAAAAGCGCCGTACCCTGACAGCCCGGCGCAGTTGTTGTGTTCGATTCAAAAGACAGCTATATAATCACCTGTTAAATATTCCTATATATATATA